TGTTAAATCTTTATCTTTAGCAATAACTCTCAGTAGTTATCAGTCTCTCACATGATTGTGGAGAATTTTTGGSCCACTCTTCTTTACAATGTTACATTATTTGATGAGATTTGTTTGGTCCTGYTCAGGTCTCTTAAGATCACAGCCCCAGCATTTCAGTCAGGTTGAGGTCTGGAGTTTGACTGGACCTTTGCAACACAACAATACTTTTCATTTTCTGTTGTAGGTTTGCAGCTGTGTTTTTAATCACTGATCTGTTGCGTAGGTCTGTCATTGGACGATAAATTGTCTCAGAAATTATTGTGATAAACGATATTGTTTGGTGGAGACCATTTTAAACTAATATCATGAAAACACCCCACACACGCTTAGGAAAGTTTCTGAAACTGTACAAAAAAAAAGGTTATGAACTGACCTGGAATAGAGATTGGGAAAACAACAGCAGCTGCTGAAGCTGTAAAATCACTTCCCACCTCCTCTATCCAAGACGGTGCAAATTATTCTGCATGTGTATTTYTCTGGCTTTATAAAATAACTGCTGTCACCCTCRTGCTGCTTACAAAATTTACAGAAGTTTACAAAATGTACTTAAGTAAATGCCTGTTCACAGGGGTCTCATGCAGCCCTGTTTAACAGAGGGCCTCACATTTGACTCTAGAATACAGAGTTGTTCCTGTTTGACCGWAGCTCAAATCCTCACCGCTCCGCCGCTGTGCTGACTAATGAAGTGAGGTGTTTGTTCTATGCTGCATCTGGTTTTCACCAAACATGGCWCTGCTCATTATGGATAAACATTTCTTCTGTCCAAAGGAGATGGTTGCAGAAGTCCTGAGGTTCATTCAGAAGAAAGTTTACACACCTAAGCTGTGCTGACCCTTCTTTAGAAAAAACAGGCTTTCTCTTGACCTTTACCAATAAGCCATTTTTGCTCAGCCTTGTTCCGACTGTTCATGAACTTCAACCTTTAACCTGCTAATGAGGCTTAAGTTGGGTCTTAGATGCAGTTTTTCTGAGAACTGCATGGTCTCACATTGGGGTGAAAATGCTCATGTGTCCACTTCTGATGATGGCTGTCACTTCTGATGAGGATGTTTTCTCCATCCTCCATCTCCATCCATGTTTGCTCCAAGGGGTTTTCTTGAAGTTTTTGCTCAAAATACCATGCCGAAATGTAATTGAGTGTATCTCAGCATTTACAAACTCTACTTCAATATTCTTGGTATCAAAATAAAGCTAACACTTGTGAAATTTCATCAGAAGTGTAAGTATTAAAACAGCTGCTGTGGTTTTAGAGATATTGGGGATGGAACATAATTTTTAAATATTTTTTTCACTCTAACCTGAATTATTTTTTTCATTTGACAGCATATAAYCCATTTAAAACCATAATGAARTAGGCTAAAAACTCTTGGAACCATAAATCCACTTGTGGACATTACCTGTGCAACGATTCATGCTGCTAAAATGAACTGGAGCAAAGTTACAGAGGTTTAAGTAAAGAAATAATTTTGCATTTTGTCATTCTGCACAGGACAGACCATGATGGTTCCATTAATAAAAGAAATCTTAGGTTTTTACACTCAAAAGTTATTTATTATTTCTTACATGCCTTAAAAGACTTGTTGTTGAATGTTTGTTCTTTTTGAAAAAAATATCCAAACATTTATTTGTCACCGTATATTTT